GCTCTTAACCATGTATCCCTAGATCCTCGTGAGGTTTAGTATTCGAAGTCGTGTAATCTTTCGTGTAATCCCTGATCTACGAAATGTGAACGTGTTTTCCCCTCTTCTGGTTCTTGCTTCGAATCTCGGGACGAGATTCTTTTTAAGGGGGGTTGGTTGTAACACCCTTAGTATTACGAACTTGTTTAGCACCACGATTTAGGCCTCAGAAAAATTTCCGAATCGAGTTTTATTGGGTTTTTAATTTAAACGTACTTGAGGCGATAAGTGAATCATATGTGACTTAGTTTCGTGGACTCAAATAAACGCTCAAGATAAATTACGCAGTGCGTAGAAATATTCAGGAATGGCCGACGACGATTCTAGAGAACGGTTTGTCCTGTTAGATTAAGCATGAAAATCAACTTTTATAAATAAAATAAAATCCATTAATAAATAGAACGATACATATATATATATATATAATATAAAACTCACTTTGGTTTATTTTGTTAAGCACTGAATCGACGAGAAAGAGAGCGCGTCGACTTATTTTTATTTTTTTCGACATACAACGTACTTGCCTGGCATTACTTTTTGATCACTGTCTCGTTCTCATCGTGGCCCTACAATTCTCTACATTGCAAAGTCTCCTCATCCATCCGCATCCATGCTCTCCGACTTTTGCTTTGCTTCGCATCTCGACTTGATTACTTATGTCTACATTTGCCAAGCGAACTACCGTGTGTGCACCAATGCCATGACCTGCTCTCTCCCTCCCCAGCTCACCATCCCTCTGTTTGCCTCACGCCGACGCCGACTGTGAATATCACGATTCACAAGTCTACCACTAACAGTCAGGGTGCTCGTAAGTAATGCACGACTAATAACAATCTGGATCCTTGCCTTGTACTCTGACTACAGCAACAACATCTCCACAGGATTGGTTCTGGTACAGACGCCCACCGAGTCACCACAACCGTAACCAAAGTGCGACCAATAGAAAATCTAACTTCCGAAGCATACAAAGGACTAGAAGCTAATGACGGTGATTAGACTAAGTGGCACGCCAACCACGCATTTACACCTTGTTGTGTTCAAAAGGTATACCCGGCCAGTCATGGTATGATGATGGCTCAGACTTTGGTCATGGTCACCTCTGCAGTCAAGACTTGCCCTTCGGGAACTCCACTTCTCAGGCACCTTTTTTTCCACACGGAACAACGTGTACGTAGAATCACCAGAGATCCGCAGAAACATCAGAGCTCGTGGAGCATTTGTTCATCCGAAGCATCACGATCGTCAGTGGCCGCTTTTATTACCTTTCAGCAAGCTAGTTAGCCGCTAACCTTACGACGCGTCGCTGTCGCGTCTTCGCGTCGCCTGCCATTAAAAGGTTACGCCAAGCCGTTCCGCTCCACTGCTCACTTGCTTCTCTCAAATCAAGTTTCTCTGTTCTTCTCCATGAAAGTTGCGTCTATCGATTTCTCCCGAGCTGCAATAATCAGCTGAGGTAGCTAATCTACAATTGATTTTCTCATTCTCTAATGTTTCCTTGACCTGTGGTTTCCTTCCCCATTAATTCCTTGACCTGTGGTCTCCTTCCCCATTAATTCCTTGACCTGCATGAATGAATCAGCACCTCACCACCAAGCACATTTAGCCCAAAGCACACTCTAGTCCTGATGTGCTCGTCAAGTCCAAAGACCACTCAAAGTCTATCATTTGAATTAATGCACTCATGACCAAAGACCCACTCCAAGTTCATCACGTGAAATCCAATTCACATGACTAGCTAGCCAAATGCCAGCCTCCACCTCCAAATTTCATCTCCCGCCTATATAAAGACACGCCAAGCTGCCCGAGCCATCCATCCCCACTCACTTGGCTCACCATCTTACTCTCTAAATCGAGTTTCTCTGTTCTTGCCTGGGAAGGCTACGCTCTGTTGATCTCCTTCCTCGAGCTGCAGTAGACCAAGGTAGATAGTCCCCATACATCCCCTACCTCCCTTCTACCTCCCCATGCCCTTAGATTTGGAAGTCATGGCCAAAATCGCCATCGTGAAAAGTCCAAAGCCATTGTCCCATGGTGGATTTAGCCGAGGAGCACAAACGCTCGGTGCTCTCTGTGTCTCTCTCGAAGAATCCTAGCCATATACCCGCTCTGCTCTTTGTTTAAGTCCACAGCAGCAGCTTGTCCTATGCCATGTGCCAGTAGCAAAGCCGAGAACCAACTCAGCTCCTATACACGTAAAGTCAAGAGTCATGAGCCATTAATTCACTCCACCAATTTCTTTATTCCTTTTCCTTTCTAATAACCAGGTGACATTGTGGTGGCCCTAATCACGTTTTATTTTCTCTCCTCATGATTAATTAGCGCCACCTTGCACAATTAATATCTCCACTATGCTAACTCCGATTCCATCACTTCTTCTTCCTAAATTCATCTAAAATCGAACCCCACCTATCCATAAAGTTTCATAATTTTTGGAACGCAGTTGAATTTATGTGAATATTTAATTGTGTCTGTTTGTCGAGTACCGCATGAGTTCGGCGTCGACGGAGGGGACGTCGATGGATTGTGGAGTCATCGGGAGTTCTTGGAGAAATGGTACTTTTGGAAGCGTGATTGGATTTCTAAAATTTTGGGCTGTCGTTGATTATTTACATCTATGCATTTGCATCAATACATATCATAATAGGAACGATGGTGGATCGATGGTATCAACTGGAGTAGCTGAAAGATGATGCTATGGTGATCATATCACGAAGATGGAATGCTAACTTTTGGTTATATTTTACCAAGGTAAGCCCCGGTGCATAACCTCTACTTTTCTGTAGTTTAAATTATATTTGTGCATTAAGTTTAAGGAGTTGAATGAAACCCACTTGCATATATATCTTTATTCCTATGAGTCTTACTAGTATGACAGGATCGTGTAGAATGCTATGCTACAGGACTTCGGTAGAAGTCGAGTGATTGCCTGTCACTCGCGAGAGATAGAAAATATATTATTGGATTACTATCACTTGGAAAATATCAAAATGGTGGAAAGGAAAATGGTGACCGGACAGGGATATGGTTTGGGTATTGATGAGTGTAAGGAGTTGTGTCGCTGTGGACACGGGGCATAGCTTGGTTACACTATTTTTCCCTGTCTGGTCGGTTAAGGACCGATCGTTGCATATGACTCTAGGCAAGTCACAGACTTATTATCCCGGGCACATACTTGGGTATGGGCGCTTGGAAGACTTGTTGCTCTCTTGTCGTGGATCCGGCTCTTTCCGGACCGACTGTCAGGGTTTTATTTTGGTGGAGGAGGTCCTTGCACCGCACTGAGTCCGGGACTCAGGGGCAGGGGCTTGGAGTCCCAGTTTGGACGGGGACCTGGACACCCGGGACAGGAGAGCGATGGGTTGGTCCTACTTGTGCCTTGGGTACAAGCGGGGCGTGTGTTTTCGGGGTATCCAGCTGGGGGCATTGATTCGCGAATCGCCGGGCTATCCGGTACGGCTTGTCTGCGGTTTAGCGTCGTAGTAAGAATTGAAAATGAAAGATGAAAGATAGAAAAGGAAATCTGATTGCTTACCACCTGCTTGAAAATAGCACAGGTGCTTACATAGAATGGTTTGTTAATGAACCAATGCGGCTATTAATAAAAATCAAATATAAAGACGCACGCTTAGTAATGCTTCCTGCAAATGCAACCTACAAGCCAGATAGCCTTGCATATCCTTGGAGTCTTTTCTTTCCTCCTGTCGGGTAAGTCTTGCTGAGTACAATTGAGTACTCAGGGTTTTATTCCCCCTGTTGCAGGTGACAGGTTGATGCTAGAGCTGACCCTTGTGTGTGGATTTCTCCTGGTGGGCTCAGCGAGGATTCCTTTACGTCGCGATCGTAGTTTTTATTTATAACTCTCACCAAATGTTTTTATGAAAGTTTCATAATATGTTGTAGTAGTTTATATATCAAATACTTCATCATATCATTAATAGATGTTTATTTCCGCTATAATTCTGATCACATGTTTAAATTCCGCTGTACATTATATTATTTATAACTCTGATAATATGATTACATTTCGCTGTTATACAATAACTATTATACTCTGATGCTGTACTAAAAGGAATGTATGAAATGGTTAAGAATGATGTAAGCTTTGTTCTCTCATTTATGATCCTGATGGCAAAAATGTAGATTTTCGGGTTCTCCCCTGGGGTGTGCCCGATGGAACCGAGTAATTTAGTGTTCTCCCTTGAGTGCTTAGTGTCTAATGGAAGACAAGCACTCCTGTGAGACATTAGATTAGACGATTCTGCTACATACATACTGTGGTGAATGGAACTGTTCTTTTGACATGACTAGGTGTTGTTTGCCGCTTTGAACCGCTTTCTTTGCGGCTTACGGCGGGAAGGAGGCGGCGGCGATGATCTGCCCACTACAAGACGAAAAGAGGCGACGCCCTACGAAAAAGAGCGACTTAGGTTTCTGCGGCACGGGAAAAAATGACCACAAAAAATAAAAAAGGTTGTGGGCCTTAAATTTGATTTATTGGAACTCAATTATGAAAAACTCTTGGAGATGAGCTTTTTTTCTCCTCTCAATACCTTTTGGGGAGTTGCAAAACTCTAAGATTTAGGGAAAAAAATTTGAGCTACTATTAGAGATGCTCTTAGAGCTCAAAATGAACAGAATGGCGTGAAAAACAAAAAAAAAACTTTAATGTCATGACACGTAAGTACTTTCGAACTTTTTTAGCGGCACAGATCTAGACCGTCTTTTATAATGGCACGGTTAAAAGGCTCTTTTGTCTTCGACTTGTATTCGACAATTCAGAACCGTGCGGCTGTGCCGGCGGCGACGGCGGCGAACTCGGCTCCGGCTGATCCGACGAACACAAGTTCAATTTACCTCTAAATACTACCCAGACACTATACTATGATTCCTGGTTGGTAACAACGGGTATCAAAGCTTCGATTCTGGCCTTCCATAGTTATCTTACGAGGCGGCAGATGAGCATGGCGTCGCCGGAGGAGCAGTTTGGCCAGATCTTGGCCCTGCTCGGCGAGAACTCCAAGGGGATCGCGGACCTGCAGAGCTCCATGGTGGAGATGCGGGCGCTGCGGACCGACATCAACACTCGGAAGCCCCAAGTCGACAACCACGTCATCGAGCTGGAGCACGTGGTGATGGATCTCGGCGAGCGTGTCGAGCAGGCGCTGGGCATTTTCCTTCCCTAGGCTGCAACCCTGGAGTTGGGCGAGGGCATCGTCACCATCGCGCGCCCGTCTCCAACTGTTGTTCGCGAGGATACTTCTGCCTCTGCGAGCCCGAAGATGCTGGGTTCCGCTCATCTGGAACCAACCCCGCATGGGGCGGCGTCTGGGTCAATTGACGACGGCAAGGGAAATCTCCACCGGGGTCCTGAGTTCGGGGTGGTGTACACCGCCATCCCGCAACCGGCCCTAGTCACAGGTGCGACGAACCTTCCAAATTCTCCTGCTCTGCAATTGAATTTACTTGGTCCTGAACACCGTGGCCTCACGCTGGATTTGAATGCTGCTATGCCTCAACTGAGTTTTCCTAAATTTGATGGTAGCAACCCTAAGCTCTGGATTAAGAATAGTGAAACCTTCTTTGATGTTTACTCTGTTCCTGAGCATCGCTGTGTCAAGCTCGGTACCATGAATTTTACTGACTCCGCTACTCTGTGGTTGCAAACTCTGCCTGCCTATGCCCATGATATAACTTGGAAGGATTTAGGAGTTGCCATTAGTAATCGTTTTGATAAGGATGAACGTGACCACCTGTACCGTAGATTTTTTTCACCTGCAAAGTTACTACTGTCACAGAGTATATAGAACATTTTAGTGATATTGTTCACCAGTTACTGATTCATAACCCAAACATGGAAGCATCCATTATCACCAATCGTTTCATAGATGGCTTACGTGATGATATTAAAGCTGTAGTCATTGTTCACCGTCCTCCCGATCTGGATACTGCTAGTTCCATCGCGTTAATGCAGGAGGAAGTGACTACTGGTTCCAGCAAGAAGGATTTCCGCAGAACTGATTCTTCCAATTACAACAAGAAGAATATGGTGGAGAATGGCCGGAATTCTATGCCACTTACTCCAAACCATACAAGAGTTGCTACACAAGCTAATGAAGACAGAAGAACAAATGAAGCCATCAAGCCCAAGACACCACCTGATGCATTGTCTGAACTCAAGTCATATCGGCGTGCTTAAGGGCTTTGTTTCAAATGCAGTGAAAAATGGGGTCCTGGACACAAATGTCCTAAGACAGTTTCTCTCCATGCAGTAGAAGAGCTATGGCGGTTCTATGATGCAGCTCAAGAACCTCCTGACCACACTGAATATGATTCAGGTGATGATCCGATGACCGTTTCCATTCAAGCTGTTAAGGGTACTGAATCAAACAAGACAGTCAGGTTAATGGGTTATCTGGCTAGTCAAAATGCTTATATGCTGGTTGACTCTGGTAGCACAACCTCTTTTATCAGTCAACAACTAGCATCTCACATCTCAGGTCATTCAGCATTAGAACAACCAGTTCAAGTGAAGGTTGCCAATGGTAACACCCTACCTTGTACACATGAACTCCCAGATCAAGTTTGGGGAGTCTAGGGTCATACCTTTGTTACTACATTCAAAATTATTCCATTGGGCAGTTATGATATCATACTGGGTATGGATTGGCTTCAGCAATCCAGTCCTATGCAAGTTCATTGGCAAGATAAATGGCTTCAGTTCAAAAAGGGTGATGAGCTTATTACTCTCAAGGGCATAACATCTGAAGCTACTTCTGGACCACTACTTTCTGTTACTCAGTTGGCTGCATTATCGAAGGATGATGCCATATTGTATCAAGTTCAGTTGAAACCAGCCAATGATAATTCTCTGCTAACAGAACCTCTACCTACAGAAATTAAGCAGTTAGTTTCTGAATTTGCTGACGTATTTGAGCCCCTAACTAAGTTACCACCAAGACGCCTTGGAGATCATATTATACCTCTAGTTCAGGGAGCTCAACCATTCAAATTGAGGCCTTATCGTTACAATCATGCTCAGAAAACTGAGATAGAGCAGCAGATCACTGAGTTATTGCAGAAGGGCCTTATTCAACCAAGTACTAGCCCTTATTCCTCTCCAGCACTCTTAGTCAAGAAAAAGACTAGGGATTGGAGGCTTTGTGTGGACTATAGGAAGCTGAATGCATTCACAGTGAAGAACAAATTTTCTCTTCCAATTATTGATGAGATATTGGATGAACTCAGTGGAGCTAGTTGGTTTACCTCTTTAGACCTTAGCTCTGGTTTTCATCAAATCAGATTGGCCCCAGGTGAAGAACCTAAAACTGCCTTTCAGACCCATAGTGGTCACTATGAGTATAGGGTCATGCCCTATGGAGTAACAGGTGGACCAGCAACTTTTCAATCAGTTATGAATTATGTGTTGGCATCTTTTCTCAGGAAATTTGTTGTGGTATTCATAGATGACATTCTCATCTATAGGCATAGCTGGTCAGAGCATCTGGAACATATCCAATGTGTGTTTGCTGCACTCAGGCAACATCAATTCAAAGTCAAACTCAAGAAGTGTGTGTTTGCACAGTCTGAGCTCAAGTACTTGGGTCACACCATCAGTGCATCTGGTGTGGCCACTGATCCATCCAAAGTCAGCATCATTCAAAATTGGCCAACACCATCTACAGTAAAAGATCTCAGGAGCTTTTTGGGCATGGCCGGATATTATAGAAAATTTGTGAAAAATTTTGGTCTTCTCAGCAAGCCTCTGACAAATCTGCTCAAAAAGGGTATCCTTTTCACTTGGACATCTGAAACTCAAGACACCTTTGATGCACTTAAACATGCCTTAGTGGCAGCACCAGTTCTTGCACTACCAAATTTTGCAAAGCCATTTGTAGTTGAAACAGATGCATCTGATAAGGGAGTGGGAGCTGTGTTACAGCAAGATGGACATCCTGTTGCCTATGTCAGCAAGGCACTAAGCCCAAAATCTCAAGGCCTTTCAACCTACGATAAAGAGTGTTTGGCTATTCTAATTGCAATTGATCACTGGAGATCTTATTTGCAACATTCTGAGTTTATCCTCAAAACTGACCACAGAAGCTTAACCCATTTGAATGCTCAAAGAGTTACATCACCTTGGCAACAAAAGGCATTAACTAAGTTGATGGGCCTCAACTTCAGACTGCAGTATAAAAAGGGAGCTGAAAACCGAGTAGCTGACGCACTGTCAAGAGCTTCTCATCAAGATACCTTGTGTACAGCAGCAGTGTCAGTTGTACAACCTGTGTGGGTCACTAAACTTCAAGATGCTTATACATCAGATTCTCAGTTAACTGAACTTTTTCAGACACTTTCATTATCATCTCCTCAAGGCCATTTCTCATTACAAAATGGTCTTATCAGATACAAAAATAGGATATGGCTGGGTTCATTGGATCAACTTCAGCACAAAATCCTATCTGCTCTACACACAAGTCCTATGGGTGGGCATTCTGGTGCTGAAGCCACTTATAACAGAGTTAAGAAATTTTTTGCCTGGCCCAAGCTGAAGCAATCTATTGCTACATTTGTGTCACAGTGATCAATTTGTCAACAGGCCAAACCTGAAAGGGTTCCATACCCTGGTCTTCTATCTCCTTTACCTGTTCTAGAAGGTGCTTGGCAAGTGGTTTCACTCGACTTCATTGAAGGTTTGCCTCAGTCCCAACATTACAACTGCATTCTTGTTGTGGTGGATAAATTTTCAAAGTATGCCCACTTCATTCCACTATCACATCCATTCACTGCAATGCAAGTGGCCATCAAATATATGGACTCAGTCTTTAAATTGCATGGTTTTCCTTCAGCTATCATTTCTGATCGTGATAGAGTTTTCACTAGTACCATTTGGCAAATATTGTTTAAACTAACTGGTATTGATCTGAGAATGAGCTCTGCATGTCATCCTCAAAGTGACAGTCAGACTGAGCGCGTAAATCAATGTTTGGAGACTTACGATGCTTTGTGCATGCTTTCCCCAAGAAATGGTCTAGTTGGTTATCACTTGCAGAATTCTGGTATAACACCTCTTATCATTCTGCTCTTAACAAGACACCGTTTGTGGTGCTCTATGGTCATGAACCACGCCAACTGGGACTGGACATTGAGAATTGCCAAGTACCTAACCTGGATGAGTGGCTACAAGATCGATCTCTGATGCAACAGCTCCTGCATCAGCACTTACTACGGGCTCAGAAGAAAATGAAACAATCTGCTGACAAACATCGCACTGATCGCAGTTTTTCTGTTGGTGATCAGGTATATCTCAAATTGCAACCCTACGTTCAGTCATCTGTTGCCACCAGGTCTCCAAACAAACTGGCATTTCGTTATTTTGGGCCCTATACTATAATTGGCAAAGTGGGTTCAGTGGCTTATACTCTTCAGCTCCCAGCTTCAGCAAAGATACATCCAACTTTTCATGTTTCTCAACTCAAGCCGGTCGTCTCATCCTCACAGCTGGTATGTCCAGAACTTCTCAATGCCTTTGATAAATCTACAGGTTCCTCTGGAGATTTTGGACCGTCGCCTACGCTATCACAACAACAAGATGATTCAGAAAGTGCTCGTTCGCTGGTCCCGTACACCTTCGGAGATGTCCACCTGGGAAGGAGTTCCCCCGTGCGCCGGCTTGGGGTCAAGCCCTCTTTCAAGGAAGGAGGAGTGTTACAAGACTGACTACGTCTTCAGAACGGCAAGGAGAAGCTGAAGGCGCCAATCTTCCTGACGATGAACGAGCTGGGCTGAAGACAAGAGAGAAACGAGTAAAGAAGCCCAACCCTCGCGTCGCTGGCCCAGAGTGGCTTCAACTGGGCCTGCCAGAGCCCATGTAATCTTCTGTTAAGAGAGGCGTGAGGAAGTAGCTTTTGTCTTGGACTTGTATTCGACATTTCAGAACCGTGTGGCTGTGCCGGCGGCGATGGCGGCGGACTTGGCTTCGGCTGATCCGACGAACACAAGTTCAATTTATCTCTAAATACTACCTAGACACTATATCGTGATTCCTAGTTGGTAACAAATCTGCGGATTCATGTCTCCATAATTCCTCTGGCCTCCTTGCCGCAGCTTGTCTTAGCACCACCTGATCGACGGAATGCCCGAATTTTTTACTTTTTAGTCTTTTTTTTTTTAAAGTTTCTCATAAATAGACCTCGGATGAAAGATTTCAGAATATGGACTCTTAACTAGGTGCCATTGATGTTGACATTGAGCTAACACGTTTCGACGCCAACGTCTCTCGAGCTCTTGAGCTCGACGCTGACGTGGCGCTGATTTGGCAGGCATCTCGGCGGCGGCGACTCTGGCGCTGAGCTTCGCCGGCGACTCTGGCGCTGGCGCAAAAGCTAGGGTTCGTCCGGTGAGGTGAGTGATGTGAATGTGACCACTGTTCACGGCCGGTACAAAGGACTTTGGCTCACTGCCCGATCGTGGACCGCTGTTTGACTTGACTTGACTGCCGGTTCAAAAAGGTTTTGGTCCTGCAGCCGTCGTACCAGAGCTCTGGCAGCTCAACTGTCAACACGGGCGTTGTCTGGTTACCTTAATCTGTACACTGTTACTGTGCCTGCACGGTTTCTATCAAATCCGCTGTGCAAGGAAAAGCCAGGGTGATGGGGCATCTTCACGTACACCGTATGCACCGGAGGAAGAAAACAGGGATATCAAGCGGCATATAGCCAGAAATTTGTAAGAAAACAGGTGCAACATGAAAAAAAATCATTTTTAAAAATCAAGACGGATGACAAATTTGTCATTTGAAGTTATTTAGTGTTTCATATTTTGAAAATTATTTTATTTTTTTCCAAACAATCTAAAATGAATATGGACCCTGAAACAAAGCTATAGTTCTCGAAACTTTGCGGTTTAAACTTTTTTATTTAAAATAATTTAGAGAATCAAATATCCATTACAAGATTCGCTAAATTTAATAAAAATGACGATATTATTCCTATTCATGGGAGTGTAGGGTGAAATAGTAGAGGCTCACGCGAGGGTCATATTTCTTGGCCTCTAACTCTCGATAATAGTGCTTGTACACAATCTTTCTTCGATGTATCTTATTTGCTAGTAGTTTTTTTATTCTAAACTACTAGCAAATAAGATCTACTAGCAAATAAATATAGACTCATGATATAACATCTATGCTTTTAGATTCACTATGAGAAATATTTTCATAATATATAATAATTCGTATGCGGTGGAACTATAACGATTTTTTTTAAAAAAATTGATGATCAAAGATAGTAGTGTTTAACTTAGGACAAAGATAATATGACATAAAAAAGAAAGGAGGAAGTATCGTATATCTTGAATTTGCTCCTGTTGATCAGCAAATTACAATGAGTAATCATAAGATTCACAACTTACACAGCACTTTGTGTTAAAAACTGGATGTGTAGGGGTACACTCCTCTTTTTACCTCTTGCCTAACTCCTCCTTGAAAACCGATACTCCGATAGTTACAAGCTTTTCCGGATAAAGAGAGTCCTTCATGGACAAGCCCTAATAGGGCAGCCTATGATTTGAGAATTCTGTGTGGCTGGTCCTGTCCCCTTTTGCAGCGTCAAAATATAGCCTATAAATTTCATAGCACGTTATGATTGCTTTGGTAATTATTTCTTTCATATTTGCCTGCACTGTAGCCAGTGCGTCACTAGCAGTAGTAAAAAGCATGCCAACTTTCGCACATTGAGAATGAGACGGCATTGTATTGCAGAACCAGAAAACCATTTTGCTGTCTGCATCAATCAAGTCAGAAGGAACACAATGCTCTTGGCAGAAATTTTTTGTTGCATTATTTCTTCACCTCGCTTTCCACGAGATGCAGAGGTCCATGTTGAGCTGCCAGAGCTCTGGTACGAGGGCTGCAGGACCAAAACCTTTTTGAGCGCCTTTTTGAACCGGCAGTCAAGTCAAGTCAAATAGCGGTCCACGATCGGGCAGTGAGCCAAACACCTTTGTGTACCGGCCGTAAACAGAGGTCACATCCACATCACATGACCGCCTCACCTCACCTCACCTCACCGGACGAACGCTAGCTTTTGCACCAAGCTCGGTGCCAGAGTCGTCGGCGCCGAGATGCCTGCTAAACCAGCGCGACGTTAGCATGGAGCCTAAGAGCTCAGCGTCAAAGACGATAGCACCGAGACATGTTAGCTCGTCGCCAGCATCGATAAGCGCCAAACTAAGGGTCCATATTCTAAAATCTTTCCTCCAGAAATCTATTTATAAAAACTTAAAAAAAAGACTAAAAAGTAAAAAATTCGGACGGAATGCCCCCAGTGACCCCAACGCAACGGCCGACATGTCAGGCGACCCGCGCGTTCCTGGCGCCGTGTGCAGGATCAACGCCCTGCCCGATGACATGCTCCTCCTCATCTTGTCCTACCTGAATGCCCGCCAGGTCGTGCAGACGTGCGCGCTGTCACGGCAGTGGCGCAACCTCCGGCGTTCCGTGCCCCACATCAACACCACGCCCGCCGAGTTTGAGCACATGCCTAATGACTGCCGGGAGTACACCGTGCTGTTCAAGAAGTTTCTCAACCGTTTCTTGATGCTCCGTAACCCATTTGCCTTGGACGAGTTTCGGCTCTGGTATGACATGCCTTGGTTCTTTGATGAGTATTCAGAAGATGCTAACCTATGGATCTGCCATGCTCTACATTGCAATGCTTGATCTGTCATGGTTACGGGACGGGACTATAGGTTGGAGCTGGATCCCGCGGTGTTTCTTCCTGGATGCTTCTTGAGAAGGCTGCATCTTACAAGTGTTATCTTGTACCCTGGTTTCTTTTGCCAACTTGGAATAGGTTGTAAAGCATTGAAGTATCTCATATTACATGACTGTGGCATTTCTGATGTTCAGATCATCTCTAAGACGCTGAAGGTTTTGACCATGGATATTGATTGTTACTACTCATTTGAAGAACAGTGCTCTATTTCGATTCCCAGCCTGGTCTGTCTTAACTATAATCATCAAACAATAATACCTCTGCTGAAGAACATGAAATCACTGGAGAGAGCATGTTTGGTACTCGATACCGACGATACCGATGTTGATGATATCCGTCAGTTCCTCAAGAGCCTCTCTGGTATTACTGATTTAAACTTCAGTTACGAGGGAGATATGGTATGCTTTTTGATTCAGGCCTTATTTAGTTCATTCCCTAAAGTTTACTCTCTATTCCATCGAATATTTGGACACATGCATAGAGTATTAAATATAAAAAAAAAAATAATTAATTACACAGTTTGCGACTAATTTGCGAGATGAATCTTTTAAGCCTAATTATTCCACGATTTTGACAATGCGGTGCTACAGTAACACATGTGCTAATGACGGATTAATTAGTCTTAATAAATTCGTCTCGCGGATTACTGACAGATTCTATAATTTGTTTTTTATTAGTATCCAAACACCACATGCGATATCCCTATGTGACACCCGATGTGACACCACAAAACTTTACATCCTGGATTTAAACAAGGCCTCAACACTCTGCATCCATGCCTATATTTATGTGTCAAAATCTGAGATCTAAGCATGGTATACAGTCTTTATCCCTTTGCAAAACCAAGTGTTTCACAGTTTATTTTGATGCTACGACCTAGAGGATGATTAATGCTCTCAACTGATAATATAACACGATTTAGTTCTCGTACTCAGTTCATTTGAAGGTTTACAAAAGTTTGTGGAACATAGCCTTAGTTGGCGTTTTGACACAAGGAACTTTGATATACATGTGACAAGAGCTGAAATGCATCTTGTCCACAATGGGGTTGTTTAACATGTGACAAACAGTAAGTGCATCCCTATACTTAGGCAATGTTTGGTTCCCAGCTCCTAAATCTAGTCAGCTAAACTACCTCCTAAATTTTAGTAAGGCCATATTTGGTTAGTTGGCTAAACCTGACATGTACATGTTTGTAAAGACCAAAACACCCTTCATTAATACTAACTTGGTGCCCCTGGCATTTGGCGCCAACAGTGCCGCGCTGCTGGCTCCTGCTAGCGCCGTTGCCTCCCGCGTGCGGCCTTGGTACGGTGCAAGAAAAACTGGTCGATTTGGGTACCCCGAGTCAACAAGATAAAATTTGTCTACACAACACAATGCTTGTGTAAGTAACATGACAAATACTATGACAAAGATAATGAAGAAATGTAAAAGCCCATACATACCTAGAGGTGGATGTGGAAACTTGTCAGTTGTGCTGCTTGCCCTCTTGCGGCTGTTTGTGATACTTGGTGAACTGGGCTGTAAGCCACAGTGGTCTGGAGTAGCAGCACCATCTTCATCATCCTCATCTATCCCTCTGTCTTGGTCATGGCATGACAGCCTAGGAATGGTGGCAGTTGAGCCATCAACAGCAGTATTCTGGAAGAGCTCAACCATCTGAGTAAAGAATCTAGGCAACCCCATACATGAATTTCCTACACTCTAGCTTCTTCTGAAAAATCACAAGAATTCACTGTTAGCACAAACCAACATGAAAGTAGAACAAGCAAACAAATTATTAGGCACAAAGATTACCCTGGTATGCCTATCCCACCAAGATAGAGGTGCATCTATCCCTCCGTTTTCTTGGCGACCAACACATGTTTGTAGTTGTGCCCACTTGTAGAACTGCACATGATCTTGAGCTGGCTGAATCTATTCTTCATACATCTAAGATCATGCTTTAGGTTAGTCTGTTGCTCATACAAATCTCTCAAATTATCATAACCTCTCCTTGTCATTGTCCCCTTACTTGAATTGCCCTTTCTCATTTCATCAACAGCAAGACAAGAGAACACAAATGTATTTGCGTCAGACCAATTTGCCTTGTCAAACTAGTAGAGAAGCAAATCAGAGAACAAGAGACAAAAATTAAAATAGACAAATATAGATCAAACAAATACACAGTACTACATACAAACTTGTAGTAGTTCATACAAACTTGTAGATCAAACAAATACAACCTAACACACACCTGTAGATCAAACAGATTAAACAAATAAAGATCTGAACATCAAACAAATAAAACCTAACACATCAGATCAATGAAAAGTATGAGAATGTAGTAAAAAACAAACATGCATAACATAGATAATAAACAGAGCAAAGTACGAATCAGATCAGAGAACAAGATCACCTCGTGCGGGATGTCGTCGTCATCTTCTGGCTCCATTCCTTCCGTTGGAGGAGCCGAGCTGCCCGAAGCAACTGTTCCACGCAGCCTAGCTGCCGGCGCGCGGGCACGGCTACTGCCGGTTCCCACACTGGAGCGGCGCACAGCAGCGCGAGAAGCCGGCGTTTCCTAGATCCGGTCGCTCCTGCGGTCAGCCGAGGAGGAACGAACCCTCCAGCACCGGATCTGGCGCCAATGCGAAGAGGAAGCAGCCCTCTACCGTCGGGAGCGAGGTCAACTTGGAGGAGCCCCTGGTAAGAGCCCATGTAGGGGAAGCCGACGGCGTCGGTGTTCAGATCCAGCCCCTCCATGCCGCGTCGAGTGGAGGAGCCCGCACCATACGATGAAGCTTGGGAGAAGACGCCAAAGTCGTCGGCGACGGGGGGGGGGGACGACGGACCGGAGCCATTCAGATCCACCGAAGAAGAGGACTGCGAGTAATAGTCCGGATACTCGGACCCGTGGCCATCCATAGTGGAAGCTGTGAGCGGAGGAGCTGCTACGCCGGCGGAGGGGTTGGGAGGAGCGGCGGCGGCGTGGAGCAAAGTGGTGGCGGCGGCGGGGAAAGCAGAGGAGAGCGAGCACGGGAGGGAGAGAGTGAGCGAGCTGAGAGAGTGAGATGTGAGTGAGGGGGTACGGTGCGCATTGATGAAGAGCAAGGCCTGTCCAGACGTTGTTTTAGGAGCTGCTAGTAAGGTTTGGGTGACTAGCTGACTAAAAGCTGTTTAGTCACTTTTAGTAAAGATGTTTGACAAAAAAGTTACTAAAGAGATTAAAAGCTACTAAATTTAGGAGGTGCTAGGTGAACCAAACACTCCCTTACAATCAGATCACTAGAATCCAGTAGATAGGTCACCTAATCCAAGCCTTTCACCAGTGTATCTGCCTGTGCTCTAGATGGTTGAATCTCACTTAAGAAAATAGGCACAGTATAATGTAATGTGAATTATTCTTATTAAAAAAGATTTGTGCTTAGTGTGACCTTTGTCAGATATTATATTCTGAAGATATATTATCACTGAAGAATCAAAACTATTTGGAACATAAATTTAGCTTGTTTCAATTGTCTTGACAACTTTGCTGAAGTCATGAATGTTTTATAAAATATGGAATTCTTTATCATGTCTTAATCCTATGAACCTTTTGCAGCTGAATATGGGAAATATACAGTGGTGCCCAAAATTCAACAATCTTACAACCCTGACACTCAGTCAATGGTGTCTACATCCAGACTTCTATCCATTGATAGTCTTCCTTCAGAACTCACCTAGCCTGGAGAAGGGCCGTCCCGGGAAAATTCAAAGCCATGTACCAAGCTAAAAAATGTGGCTTACTAGTCGCTGCAGGTTCAGGTTGCCGTCAGTTTCTCACGCTCGATGTCGATCGCTCGTGATACGCGGCCGGCAGCCGATACGGCATCAGGGTGATGGCGGCGGTAGGGGATGAGGAGACCGACGAATTGGGATTGGCAAAACAAAATAATGCCCACTGTCCAGCGGTCGGCCAACAAATCATTTTTTATTGGGCCAAACTGTTGCTGTGCAAGCTGTCGTAATAGGCTTGCTAGCTAATGGGCCAAAAGCCGAAGCTTCAGCTGTGCTGATCTGTATTTGGAGGCCTACGAGATTTGGAGGCCCTGCGCCGTCGCTCATGCTGCACATGCGCAGGGACGGCCCTGCCTGGAGAATCTAACTCTGAAACTCGGAGGGGTACATGGCTCTCTCCACATGTTAATTGATCCTTGTACAGAAGTTGATGCATGTGCAATCAAATCAAAGTGAAACTTGTGTTTTCTCACATTTCAGGTTGGCCATACACATCAGAGATTCATTGGGGAGCTAGAAGAAAGGTCGTTCAGCTGTGAGCACCTTGATAGTGTTGATATTGTTTGCTGGGAGGTTCAAGAACATGATCCCGTGCTCGACAACCTGGTGGAGCTTCTGACTGAGAATGGCATAGAACGTGATGAGATTGACATCAGTATCTCACTATAGATTTCATTTGCATCAATCACTGGAACAAGTCACAGTTCATTCATTCGTTTGTGGACGCAGGACCATCCATGCGGACGTTTGGTTCACCTGGATCTTAGTCTCAGTTTGGATGGATTCATGCTGTGAAAAACTGGATAACTTGTATGCGCATCAATTTAGTGCTTTGTTACGTGTTACCAACTCACATCTGCTCGAGCTGCTTTAGTCTATTTCTTTTAAGTATTGGTTCAGGCCAAGGCGATCAATAACAATACCCTGTTAAAGGCTTGAAGATATTTGGGAGTGGAATTCAGTTCTTTTGACTTCAGCTCGTGTGGCAAATTTCTATGCATTTATGATACGCCATTGATGTTCCCCGATGCAAATAATTTATATGTTTACAATGCCATGGAGATTAGTTCAGACTGAATTGTAGACTTTTCTTGAAATATAATACTAAATAAAACAAATTAGGCGTTGCTGCCTTGCTGGGCGCGCGCGGCACGCGGCGGCTGCACTGGCCGCTGCAGGCCACATGCGCTGGCTCCCCTGACCGCTGCAGGGAGGAGGGATTCAGATTCAGTGACACCAAGGGTTACCATCGCTTGCAGGCCAAAAGGCGAAAGTGTGACAACCAGATTTTCTAACATACTCATCTCTACGTTAGACAAACTAGTTATGGCCCTAACAACAAGGCTATAATTAGAACACTACAACAAATACTCTCACAAACCCTTTTAGATGTCGTTCTCATGTATCGAGAAATCAAACATACTCAACTTTGACTAAATATATACAAAAAGTTACTAATATTTGGTGCGTAATAAGTATCTAGATTAATCAGTGTATATATTTTTATAATACATTTATTTGGAGATACAAATATTACTAATATTTTCTATAAATCTAATCAAAATTAAGAAAGTTTGACTAGCAAAAAAAACCTAGGCGTCATTTAAACAGGAACAGAGGGAGTACACGTTACACTCTATCTTTATTAAGTTGGAGCCAAGACCGACTAATACTGCATTGTTTCCTTGTTAATTTTAACTATTTTCATCAAAAAATTAATGTAGACTTTATTCCATATGTTTGTCCATGTAAATAATTTAGTTATAGTTTTTGGCAATAATATGTGATTTTCAAGTTAAAATGTATTTCTGTTGGTTTATTGGAATTAATTAAAATCTAGACCACATGTACGTATTGATATATGACACCATACTGTTCTCTTGTTGTAGATAAATCTTGCTATATAGATACGTAAAGCAAAACAATTTGTGGAAGAGATGTGATCGCAGTAATAGTTAAAGCAAATACTTGTTTAGAGATGTTATCGCTCGAGCCTCCAGCTTGAAGAAGAGGAAGGGTGAGGGATTTGGTGAAGCAGAGAGAGATTTTTGGTGGTGCGCCGTCATGCTGCTTGTATTAGCTTGAAGCAAAGAGATTTGGGGGCTGCTTGTATTAGCTTGAAGCGCAAAGAGTTTCATGGCGGTGGGATTTGGTGCTGGGCTGCTAGCTTCCATGGGCGGTGGCGGCTCCAGCTTGGAGAAGAACAAGGGTGAGGAAGAGGTGAGACAACCACTTCTTGCATTGTGAAACCAGGCTTTGGATGTCCTGGCTTAGGATCTAGGTCAGGTCTAAAACGTGAACCAAACGAACTGGTGTTTTCGATTTCGGTATTGCAAAAATTTCAGCCACCTCCGAAATAAACATAATTTTGTGAAATTCGACATAAATTTCGCCGAAATTTATTTAGAGACTAGCAAATGAAGTATAATTTTTCTAAAAAATAGATCTAAATAAATATTAGTATGATTTGTTACTACACATATATTGAACGGAAGAATACGCAATATAAATAATAGAAAATATGAGTATAGAGTTATATAACACATGTTACGTGTATTAGTGTAGTACAAAATTTCAGATTTTTCTTTCAGCCACCACCGAAACTACCGAACTTCGCAAAATTTCGCCCAATTTTTTTTCTCGCCACACAAAAGGTTTGCACATCTTTGTATTAAGGCAGAGAAAAGTTGAATACAACACGCCTTAGCGTCGCCTTAAGGGTCAGAAGAGTTATACATGGACGCTTAGGCCCATCGAAATTTCGTCGAAATTTTGAACCCTAAAACGCACCCTATAAGTGATAGATGTATTTTACACTGGTTTGTGGTTAATAGAAAAGTAGAAAAATACCCCGTGTATAGTTGTGGGAGTTTTAAGTGATAGAACAGATCGAAAGGTATTCCGCGTGTATAGAAAACGACTAATATAACTCAATTACTTTATTCATTAGTATATGTCCTCAATAAATTAGGCTCAGCCAGTACAATACATCATCACTCATATTATGATTAATTACAATACCGATTATGGAATAGTATATATTAGGGGGGGCCGGCTGCTATCCAAATACTTGTCCTCACTGGAGTGGATTCTTTTTGGGTGAGGGCGAATTGTTGCGTGGTAGACGGCCTATCATCAAATTAATTAGTCCAGCTGGTACGGTAGGTACTTGATATATGTAATTAGTGGTGCATGTAATTGTCAGGCGGCGATGTTCAGTTATCCATGTCGAGCACGAGAGGCGTGTCCCCTTTGTCGACGGTGAAGGCCTTGAGCATCTTCGTCCCCGTGGGCGTGGTGACCTGCGCCACGTAGCTGCCGTGGAAGCCCCTGAACTTGAACTGTCCATCGGCGTCGAGGCGTCCCCGCGCGTCGGACGTCCACTCCCTCCGGAGGTCAATGAACCTCTGCCCGGCGTCGTTGACGGTGCCGTCGGCGTTGACGAGCGCGGCGTCCTGCCTCCACATGTGTCCCTGCATGAACCCCCAGAGCACGACGCCCTTGACCGCCGGGTGCGCGTACGCCTCGCGCATCACCACCTCGAGGTCGTCGGCGCGCAGGGCGTCGTCGGGCTCGCACACGTCGAGCTCCGTAAACCAGATGGGCAGGTCGGTGGCCGCGGCGAGCGTGTCGAGCGCGTCGCAGATGACCTCCCCGACGGGGTGGGTGACGTGGCCCTGCAGCCCGACGCCGCCGACCTGCGCGCCGCGCCGCTGCAGGTCGCGGATGAGCTCCACGTACCTCTCCGGCGTGGCGTTGCCGTCGTTGCCGCACTCGACGTTGTAGTCGTTGACGAAGAGCGCGGCGCCCGGGTCCAGGCGGGCCGCCTCCCGGAACATGAGCGCGGCCACGTCGTCGCCGAGGCGGTCGCGGAAGAAGCGCCCGTGCAGCATCTCGTTGTTGACGTCGTAGTGCGGGAACCGCCCCGCGTAGCGCGCCAGGAGGCCGTTGAGGCGTGCCTGCACGGCAGCCATGAGCTGGTCCGGCCCGTCGTGGTCGGCGATGTCCTTGATCCACTGCTGCACGTCGCCGTCGACGGCCCAGAAGATGCAGTGGCCCCGCACGGGCTTCCCCGCGCGGTCGCAGAAGTCGAGCAGGCGGTCGGCGTCGGCGTAGTTGAGCTGCCCGCGCTGCGCCTCGGTCCAGTACCACTTGAGCTCGTTCTCGAAGACGGCCCAGTCCATGTGGTTGGTGAAGAAGTCCACGAAGGCCGGGTCCTGGATCACCGTGCCGTTGATGCAGCTGCCAATGGCGAAGGCGCTGTCCAGCTGCACCACGCGCACGGGCGCGCCCGCCGGGGCCCCGTCCACCTTCACAACCACGTCACGCTTGCGCACCTGCAGCCATGGTCCATGCACGCATGTCACTCACCAGCTAGCTTATTACTTGTCGCATCATGCACTTGTCATCGATACAACACAAGGGAAACCTATAATGTAAGGTACATATATTTTACATGCTTATTACACATCAGCATAAGTATATAACTCTAGGCTAGACACGACTTCACCCCAATTGGACCCCGAGGCTGGCGGGCGAGAAATTTTACTATCATGATTGCTCGGCGACGGCGTGGCTGAGAGTGATGGACACCACTGATTAAGGGCGTGATTGGTTGCCTACCAAATTTTGTCCAATCAAAATTATGTCAAGCCAAAATTTAGGCTTGTCAAGATCAAGGCTGCCAAAATTAGGGGAAAAAACATATGTGTGCATTTGGTTGACTACCAAAATCAAAGCTTGCCAATATTCTCCTCTATGCAGTTTAAAAACTTTCTAGAAACTTGCCAAAACTTTGATCATAGACTTTGGTGTGTCAATTCTTTGGCAATGAGCCAATTGATGACTACAAATTTTGACATGCCATGATTTTGACTGGGCAAGAATTAAAAGCCAGCCAATCATGCCATAAGTGATTAGCGCTAGAGGCCGGGCTGCAAAAGCAAAACAATGTCGTCCCGTACGAACAATACGTATGCACGCAGCCCCTTCATTTGGTGCGGTCACTATCGATGCGCGCGGCACCACCCGTCAAAACGCAACACGCCTAACAAATATAGCAAGAAAACAATACGTACGGGGCACCAATGCGACCAAACCATGCATAATATTCTCTCATTTCTCCCGGACCGGTTGATGCGGTCACGCAACTGCCGACCTTAATCATGCGTGACTACTATTTATGCATAGCAAGTTAGCAACCAGGACAAATGGCACTAGCTAAATAATCCATGGAATTGTTTCTCTCAAGCTAAGTTCGTGTTCATTGTCATCATTGTTGTAAGACAGCAAATTAAAGTAAGTAGGTTTGGTTAGTTCATGCATGCATCATCGGTGTACACGTTACACCCGTACCAATGACATTAATTCAGTTATATGTATATAAGTAGGCCTATTGTTGGGGACGTGTGAGTTATATATCCTCATTTACAAGCCTCTCGAAGCACTGATAGTTACATTTTCCATACCAATCTTCTTCATGGGTCTTGTCGATCGATCAACGTACAGTAATCTAAGTAGCATGTATATAGAGTCGAGTTCAAAACCAAACTAGGAATATCTTTTGCTACGATTTTTCTGAAACTAAATTCAAGCAAGTTGTTAAGAAGTATAATATAACATACTACGAGTTGTACTATTATTATCATTACTATTAATATGTGTATGTGGGCGTTTGTGTGGTCGCTTTGGATAAACATGCATATATAGTGTGTAAATATTTTCTTACAAGTCCTTGTGCATATATTCTTTCTTACTTGAAAGATAGATCTCCTGCCACTTTGTTGGAAAAAAACCATTTTTCTTATAGTCATTGACTGAGTTATGACTTTTGCAATTTATCTGTTGACATGTTTTTTTTATTAAATCTATCATATTTCTATAAGCCTCGTCAATTCCATATTTCATGCTTTCAGAATAAATTTTTAAAATCCTTTAGATATTTGACATTTTTGGCACCAGCATCATATACACGTACGCAAAGACTTTGCGCTTTTGTGAAACTTTTATTGAGTTGACTCGTATATATACTAGAACCCGTTTCATAAATCCGTGCAACAGTTTTTTGGTTCCGTATGCAAATAAACTTACCTTTGCAACATCATGCATCGTATATATACGTACGTATACGTCAATGCCCTGAACGTCCGTATACTTACCTTATACTAGTTGATTTTGATGAAAAGAACATAAAGAACACATTAGCTAGGTAGAGATAATAACAAGGGTGGTCGCGGTCAAAATTAAACCAGTTCGTTAAGTTGGGCATTTCAAGACGTAAATGCATGAGGCGTGTCGCTTACCTTGTCCGTCTTTTCCTTGAGGTAGCTGAAGCGCGCTTTTCGGTCCGTGGCAATGATCCTTAGGTCCATGACCTTCACATCGACGCCGGCAGGCGCCCCATGCACGTACACCACCGCGCTGCGGGGGCTCTCCTTCAGCCGGAACGCGCCCTTGATCTCCGCCCACCTGCTGCCGCCTGTGCCTGCCTCGGACTCGGAGTCGGAGGCGGCCGAGCAGGCGACAGCGCCGCCGTCGACGCGGATGCTGACGTGCACGGGATGGTGGGTCGTTGTTCCTCCAACCCCGGCGCCCGGCGCCGCCGCCGCTACGCTGACCCAGCCGGCGACACGGTACGTGACCCGGGGCTTGAGCGCGCCCGGCGTGATCGCCTGGCACAGGCCGTCGTCCTCGTCGGCGCGGCCCGCCGCCAGGACGTACCGACCGCTGGGCGTGCGCTCGTGCCCGATGGCGGCCACACCTTTAGCGGCGGGGAGCCTGGCCGGGTCGAGCTCGTGGTGCAGGGACAGCGCCGTGCGCGCACCGGAGGGAGCCCAGCCGATGGCGTTCACCTCGAACACGACGACATCACCCTGCAGGTCGATCGATCAACATGCATATATGCAACAAAGGAAGTGATGAGACGACGTAGAGTATGCATGCACTTCATTGCAACTGTAGTCTGTAGTGTACAATACAAGGGCAGTGCGCCGGCGGAGAAATTAATGGAGTCATGTATGTTTTCATCTTCTGTTCGTTACTGTACTGGTACGACAAAATCAGCCGGCTTGCACAAGTTTACACATATATGCGTGCGTGCGTACATACCTGGTGACTGCAGGCCATGGTCGGCAAGCTGGAGGAAATGGTCTCCATATGATCGAGCTGGCGCCCGGGAGTTTTTTGTGTGTGCGCGCGCGCGTTGGGACTAAAGGAAACTTGTTTGCTCGTGTGACTTGTTGCGAGGAAACGGGACCGAGGACGCAGCCGTATTTAAAGACATTCGGCTGTCATATATTTATCTTTGTGGCAGAAAAAATATACTACCGTTCGCTAGCGTTGCTTGCAGCAATGCGTAGTAGCAAAGACCAACTAACTTACCCGGTTGATGATTCAAGGAACAAACTACAAGCAACCAGCTGTGTGATGAATGTTATTACCAAGATCTCTCTCTCTCTCTCTCTCTCTGTTTTTTTTTTGGAAGTCAAGGTGAAGCAAGAGCACTCTCATTGGCCAGACTTAAATTTGTAGAGATGATACATACATATGCCAATTCAAAGAAGTGGGTGTTTAATTAGATTCTTCTCTTATATCTTACTCTTAGTCTCTTACTGATCCATCACTGCATGTGTGTGACAAATTAGCGCCTGATATCTATCACGTTGTTCACTACAGATTATCGTGTCCACTGGAAATAACTACCCATGATAGCAAAGCAAGAGTTAGGCTCCATACTGGATTTTTGCATTGACGACCATGAAAACTATTCCAGGGATCACGCTACCCTTTAATTGATTCTATCAAGTATACATATATGCCATGGAAACTGATTCTATGATGAACTAATAACAAGTAGTACGTAGTGCAATATATAAAATCTTTGGCAGTTGATAAAAAATTTATATATATCGAGATATATATCATACCATGTATATGGAGCGTGCAGATCAAGTATAGAGTTCATGGCACCAATTGCTTGCAAGTTGCAGCCGCCACCCGCACTGCATGGAGGAGACGATGGACCATGATGCGCCCAGTTCGTTTAGGCGTACAGCGTCGCTAAAACTACTACATGCATGGCTTCAAGGCACGGATAGCGGCTAAAAGCTAGCAAAAGCATAGCATGCATGAATTGTGTTGTGTCATGTGTGTGTGTACCTATTTATGGTGATGCACCGCGACATCGCTCTCGCCGTGCTGACGTACGTGCACTGACCAGAGGGCCATTGTTCGGCATGGATGAGCCGCCCAATAACCGTGTAGCATAAGCAGCAAATAAACCTAAGATCCCAAGGTTAGGTCTTGTTGGCAGCATTTTTATCTGATTTTTAGCCATTTTTTGTGATGATTTTGATTCAAAATTCATGTTTTGGAGTTCTTTCAGTGTGATCATAGTGGATGATGGCCATGCTGGTACTGAAAGGAAGAAGGTGTTGAGCTATTGAAAACTTTCGCAGAGGAGTCTGACAGTGCACCTCACTACTACATATTCGATTTTTAGGGGCAGCTCGTAACCTTTTGTAGGAGCGGTTTGGCCAGCCGCCCCTACCAAATCGTCTCTACAAATCATGTATTTGTAGGGGCGGTTCCCAGGCTGCCCCTACAAATCGATTTATTTGTTTGTAGGGGCGGTTCAATCTAGAACCGCCCCTACAGTATGTTTTCCCGCAATTTTTTTTTCAAATTTACAATTCAAATTCGCATTGCCGAACATCCCGTGACCAACGTTTCGAACCGCGTTGCAATAGGTAGAAACACTGTCAGCATCACATGACAATCATGAGCCTTGCAATGTGTTATTGACAAGTCCTTCATCGACACTAGCTTCTTCATATTTGCTGAAAACCCAGTCGGGACTTTGACCCCCCTCAGAAAAGTGCATATAGCTCTCTTCTCGTCTGGTGATAGGTTGAAGCACGCCGCGGGCAGAGTGTATTTTCCATTAGCCTCAGGTACTGGGTGAAGCTGTGGCATCACGTTTAGCTGCACCATGTCTTTTCGTGCTTTCAGACCATCCTTTGACTTGTCTGTGTCCATCAAGGTAGCAATAAGACTCTTAAATATATTCTTCTACACGTGCATAGCATCAATGGCATAGGGGACCTCTAAGTCTGGCCAATAAGGCAGATACTGAAAGAAGATCGACTGTTTCTTGAAAGGTACGCCATCGATAGGAGGTGTGCTTCTATCTCTGTTCGTCCCATCCGGATTCTTCTTTCCATAGACAACGCGTATGTTTTTCACCATTATGTACACGTGTTCTCCGTTTTGACGTCTCTCCGGAGGGGGTTCAATCTCCGGGGTGTTGTCAAAAATCTAAAGAATAATTTGCTGTGGTACTTGTGACTTGTCTTTAAGAAGCGTCGGTTCCTTAGGTAAACTATCTTCTTGGATGCATCCAGATATACCCATGTAGTACCATCCAAGCAAACCAAGCATCCGTCTTCCCTTTGATCTATCCAGACAAAGCAAACAGCGCGGGGTAATCATTGGTAGTAACAAATATTATTGCTCTACATATAAAGTCCTCCTTTCGGAACACATCGTACATCGGCTCCCCATGCCTCCATAGCCTCTCCATTTCTTGCATCAAAGGCTCCAGGAACACGTCTATATCAATGCCTGGTTGTTTAAGGCCAGAAATAAGAATAGTGAGGAGAATGTACTTTCTCTTCTGACACAACCACGTTAGGATATTGTACATGGTCAAGATCATTGGCCAAGTGCTGTGGTCGCTCATCCTCTCATTGAAGGGATTCATTCCATCGGTGCTCAAGCCAAACCGTACATTCCTTGGGTCATCGCTGAATTCTTTGTGCTTCTCATTGAACCTTTGCCATTGACTACAATCAGTCGGGTGTGCAATCTTATCATCATCCACCCTGCGCTCATCATCCCACCATGTCATGAGTGCGGCTTTTTTAGGGTTTAGGAAGATACATCTCAAGGTCGGTCAATGACAGCTACCACATTATCAAGGCAGGAATTCTTCTCTACTTTGCATCGTTGCCTAATGGAGTGTCCTCTGGGGGCTGAGATTCTTGTACCACCTTTTTTGTATCCTTCCTATTCCTCTTTTTCCCCATGGAGGCTTCGTCCCCACCATAAAGGTCATTGTTCTTATACCGGCTGGTCCCACACCGGGGACATTTATCCAGTGACTTGAACGTTTCGCACGAAAAAGTATACAGTGGTTGGGGCATGTATGGATTTTTTCAACTCCCATTGTCAATGGACTTATGACCTTCTTCGCTTGGTATGTGTTGGCGGGAACTGAGTTTGGTTGTGGCAGCACCCACGACAGGAGATGCAATAGATCATTGAAACTACAGTCTGACCAGCCGTACTTAGCCTTCAAGATGAGTAGCTCAAGCACAAAACGTAACAATGTCCAATGTGTCGGACAACCTTTTTCAACACCATACACAGTCTCATTCGATGCTTTTGTCACCCTTTCTAAATTTTCTAGACCGTTCGGCCTATTTAGTAAAATATCTGGTCCAAGGGCTCGAATCGTGTCCTCCAAATCATCTTCATCCCCGACACGTGCTCCACCATCATTATTGGCACCACCTTCATCGTTACCATCCCAACCACCAACATCACCACCTTGTTCATCGTCAAACTCGAAATCCATTCGTGCATCAAGCTCTGCTGAATATTGAGACAGGGATTCTATGGTTTCTTCGTCGTATTCCTCCTCATCTTCGTTGTTAACAATAACCGTTTCACCATGATGAATCCACACTGTGTAGTCCTCAACAAATCCTCGCATAATCAAATGTGATCTGATGATAGTCACATCTGTCCATGCCATACGGTTCTTGCAATCTTTACAGGGACAAATAATTGTATTCTTATTCTCTGTCAATGTCATTGCATGCTTCTTTGCGGCTTTAATAAATTTATCTACCTCTTCACGAAAACTTGCCTTGAACCTTAACGAACCATAGATCCAAGAGTTCCTGTACTCCATCTTTTACAACAACAAAACAAATATTAAAGGACTATTTATTCAGATATATATATATATATATAAATAAATAAAATTAATAAGTACTAGAGAATAATTGTATATACTTCAGATATATATGAATATAAATCTAATAAAATTACATGAAGCATACAAACACACCATGGTAGAGAAAAATTAATTAATGACCCATTTATCCATAAATAATTAAAATACATATTTGTTGATTACAATAAATAATTTCAAAGACAACAATTAGCAACAATTATATTTTACCCAATATTTTTCATCCAAACCCTAGTCCAATTTCATCAAACATAAATTTACAAAAACGAAATTAATAAAAAAACTAAACCATAGATCTAGATCCACATGCACATGAAACATCCATAAAACTAACTAATTGTTCACTAAATTCAAGAAACATGGACCAAATAAGGGTATGATCTTGTCCCCTCCCTAATTTATCCTAGTACATTCAAAACTTGGGTCTAATTTCCTTCGTAAGTAGCTCAAGCACCATAGAAGAGAGAAAAATAAAACTATAATTACTCACTAACCAACCATTAAAACTTCAAAAAAAGTGTGGAATAGTATTTTCTTACATTCTATAACCTCTCCACTAAAGGATTTGAGACCAAAACATTTCCCCCTTAGTAGAGCAATATTTGGGAGGTGCCCAAGACCCCCCACCTTTCTTTTATAGGTTGGAGTGAGTGACCCGAGGAGGAAGAATGTGCTACAGTTTGCTTTATATGTGGGTGATTTGTAGAGGCGGCTGGTGATTGAGCCGCCCCTATAAATCGGAGGCATTTATATGAGGGCATTTGTAGGGGCGGCTCAATCACTAGCCGCCCCTACAAATAGCAACTCCGGGGGCGGCTGGTGAGTGAGCCGCCCCTACAAATCAAACCCATTTGTAGGGACGGCTCGTATCATCAGCCGCCTCCTGTTCCATTTATAGGAGCGGCTGGTGCCTAGCCTCCCGAGCACGCCACTGTAGGGGCGGCTCCATCACCAGCCACCCCTACAAAAAAATTTCTCCCGTTGCTATAAACCGTTTTTCACGTAGTGCCTGTGCTTAGTTGGGACTATAGGTTTAGTTTGTTTAGTGTTAGTTGGGATGTCTATATTGTTTATGGGCTCTAAACATTCTATTATATATTTGTATTAGTGTTAATTT